TCCGCTCGGAAAGTACGCCTCAACGGCAAAAGCACACTCCTCACTGTTTCAATGCATGTTGACGGATGTAGTTATGTTGCTACAAATCCCTTATGTTGCAATAGAACAAGTTATTTTATTATACAGTTCAAATATTATATCTTTGCATTGTAACAAGTAAAATTTCTAGAGTCGAAATTTAAGTAAAACTTTATAGACCCGCCTCTTTAACGAGAACACTAGCGCTCCGCTACGACATGAGCGGACTGAATGGTGCGCATGTTAAAACAGGAAGTTATACTGCCGCACTCTGTTTAAAACATAGATTAGCAAATGACAGAATTTGTTTTGTTCCAGATGTTGGCGAACGCCAAAGACCCCCCACAATCGTCTTCCACCTCTCGTCCCAACTGCTGGCCGATCAAAAAAGCTCGCACCACAGCCGATGTAGGTCGCTTTATATGTGCCGCCGGCAGCAAAACTATGGCGGTACCTTCGAAAGCGAGTACTCCGAGTGATGATGGAGACACTGAGTGGTTCCAGAGACCGCCGGTGTTTAGGGAGAGTTTTGGGAATGCTGTCGCGCAGGCTCTAACTGTGAAGGCAGATAATGCGGAAGATGGTAGGTGTATTTTGGATGTGTTGGTCTCTGGAGTTCTTGAATATTTGTAATTGTAGTTTCCCAGATAAAAAGTCGAAGCACAGTTGATTTTGCCATACTATATCGTTTAATAAACCCGACGACTTTAACTGCTAAGTTTTTACCATAGTACGGATAACTAGCAGACTTCCTTTAATCCACTCGTGTTTGCCTGGCAAAGTCTTAAAATTCAATTCACCACACTATCCTTTAATTGACCCCACGACATCGACTCCCGTTTGACATTATAAATTACCAGAACGTACCGGTTAACTGTCATGCAATACAATTCTACATCTAATGCGGCATCTGCATTGTTCGTGAATACACCTCAAGGGCGCCATGTTGTTTATCTTGGAAATAATTTGTATAATAAATTGTACTATTATTTGACCAGACTGTTTCGATTAATCCACTCCACAGCAACTGCCCTCCCTTGACGAGGTGTTTGCCAACAGAACTTGTCAATTTAATTTCACCTGACTATAACCTTTTATCTGTCATCGGACATCGACAACACCTGTTCAAGATATTTGCTGAATAAATAGAAGTTAATTAACCCACACCTCCTTTTTTAAACTTAACCCACCACGAAGGCCTCAGGCCTAAACACCCATGGGTACCGTGGGACTATAGGGGGATGTAGGGGGACACCGCACGAAACACACATTTTTCGACAATCAGAGACTATCTACCACCTTCGGACAATCGCAACATCGCACGGCGGCTGATTAGTAGACCCATAAAGCCGGAAACATTTGGCGGTTTATTCCGATCGTTTTTTTTTTTTTCGTCGACGCCGTGGCAGTGGTAGCGGGTGGGATCTTATTGCGACGTACACATTCAGCGGAAAAATGGACGATTGGATTTTTCTAACGGCGACGGTAGAAATACAGCCGCCCACTGCCACTACAGTTATTGGATGTTTCATCGACACCTGGCGAGCGCATAATTGACTAAACGGAGACACTCATCGTCCAGTCTACCGACGGCCCACTCTGGTGTGCGTTGATCATGGCCGAAATGGGTATTGTAATTGACAATGAATGATTAATTCATTTTGTTCAAGCAAAGCTCATAGTGTGGGACAAAACATTGGAGAAGCTGCAACTTTCCCTCTCCTTTGATTAATCGGATTCACCCAAATAAGTCTATTTTTTCGCTCCCTCTTCAATCGACGACGTAATAACGATAATGCGAGAAGTTGTTCTCTGATCATGTCAATACCCGGCACAATATGATAAAACGGCAATAGACACTTGCTGCATGGTGGTTAGTGATCGACTGGCGGAGGTGTCATGGTTGTGATGGATATTTTACTGCCCAGTGTATAGTGCTACAATTTTGTTATAGCGTTGACGGCTGCTGACTAGTCCACAACACATCAGCTGTCCCCCGTGACGAGGTGTTTGCCAACAGAACTTGTCAATTTAATTCCACCGGACGATATCGTTTAATCAATCCGCGGACATTGACCTTCCGTTCAAGAGATATTTGCTGAATAAACAGAAGCAATTTTCCCCATACCACCTTTAATTGACCATACGACCTCGACTATTCCCGATCGGGGTATATGCCAAATAATCTTACCAAGTTAATTTCACCAAACTATATCAATTTAACCCACCTGACATTGACTCCGCCCGTTCAAGATGTTTGCCATTGTGAAAATAAATTATTGTTTTCTTTCAGATTTTCAATGCGCCGGCAAAAAGAAGAAGAAATCCAAGCAGAAGCTGCTGTTCACTACAAACATTAACTATATGAACTAAAAAGTAGTTGTTGCGAGTCCCTACATTTAAAATGATGTATTTTTATTTCTATTTGTTTTTACCTAAATTTGAGTTATATAGAGTTCATCCCTACAGATGGTCTATATCGATTGGATTTTGTTTTTTGTTATAGAATGTCGAAAATAAAGATACCTCTATTACTTACGATACTTACGTCAGTGTTTTATTAAATAACCGTGGTACCCTATGAAGGTGTTTACTAAATAAACTTGCCAAGATAATTTTACCATACTATATATTATTTAATCCACCCCAACTCGCATTTAAAGTGTGCTTAATAATCTAGTGAAGCTAATTTCATCGGATTAATTTTGTTAATCCGCTGGATGACAACAAACTGCTTTCGTTTGACCCATACATTTTATTTTGTGCTAATATAGTAACTGAAAAAAATATATACATCCGTGTACCTTTCTTAAATGATTTTAACACGTATGCTGCCGCTGGCTCTTATAAGCGTCAACGCGAGATGTTCGCCGGTGCCGCTGTCTCTTATCAGAGCCAAGGTACAATACTGAAGGCACTCAAGGCCACAAATTAGTAAAACGTGATTAAGATGGTAAAAAACAAGCATCCAGAAAAAGATGCCAGTCTTTTAGCAAGGAGAGAATCCGTACCCAAACGATTTACGAATGTAGAACATGCCGTAATGTTCCAGGATTCTGCTTGGAGTGCAAGACTATTCACAAATAATTTTTTGCACTAAAAATAGTATGCATTCACCACAAATTCATATTTTTATTCTAAAAAAAAGTTGTTTCAGTTCTTATTTTTATCACATTAGGTGTATTATTTACCGGAAAAGTTTTTGTTATACTTTTATATGTTCTCTACTATTTTGAGCTACAAAAATTATTTTTAATATTTTATTTTAGTTTAGTTTATTTCTATTATAAAAACAAATAGTTACCTTCCGACTCTTGTATCTTGTAAGCACCAGCTGGCACTCAGGAAACCGACTTGTAAGGTGCCGTCGGCTCTTGGAAGAGCCACAAAAAATCTAGTTAAAAAAACATTTTACGAAAATACCTCAATAACTGATTTTACGAAGTTATACTACCAAAATAACATTAACCATTATACAACCTACTGGCTCATGGGTAAAACCAACCGAAAAAAGGTGGCAGTCAACGTGTTAAGCTGATTCTGTGCATTTTCAATTAGACAAAAAAAATCGTTCAGTTGGTCTACCGTCCCATAGATGGCGGTTCTTTGCAAAGTATTATCATAGGTCACATAAAATTTAGCTAGTCAAAAATGAGCTTTGAACGCATCTTCAAAGATCAAGAAACTTAAATTTCTGTGAGGGGGCGAAAAATCCCCATTTTTTTATAAAAAGATTATTTTGTTTGGCTTAGTTTATTATATCTAATATTACATATTGATTTTTGGTTTGTTGAGAAACAAATTGTCCTCCGCCTCACGTGCATTAGGGCCGTGTAAGGTTAGGGCGTAGGGCCTACTGAACCGATGTCAGCAGCCGAAGGTAGTCATTCAAAACGATGGGCTTTGTCGTGTCTACCGATATTCAGCGCCATCTGTTGGATGGTAGCTGAATAAAAAATATATTCATCCGTATACCTTTTTATGGCAACGCACCTTCAAAGATCAGTAAACTTAAATTTCCGTGAGGGGGGTTAAAAATCCGCCTATTTTTTGATGAAAAGATTATTTTGTTTGGATTAGTGATTAGTTTGATATATCTAATATTAGGTATTGATTTGGTTTTGCTGAAAAACATAGCGTACTCCTCATTGCATGCTTTGGGGCTTACTGAACGGATTTCAGCAGCCCAAAAGGTAGTCATTCAAAATGGTGGACTTTGTGGTGGCTACCGATATGCTGCGGCATCTATTGGAGAGTAGTCCAATAAAAAAATATGTTAATACTTATACATTTCTTAAATTATTTTAAACTAATTCTGTACCTTTTTTAATTTGATGTAGTATAACAACTTACGAATAAAATATTGTAAAGCTCCCGAGTATTCCAGCCCAAAGTTCCATTACACACACACATGAATACTAACAGTTACTTATACAAGGTTTGTAAAAAGTGCCACTGTTAATGCAATTTATATTGAAGGCCCAGCTCAAATTAAGCCAGGAGAAGAGTAAAACGGTTCAGGGTAAATTTGTATTTTCTCTCTCTAAAAATATTCTGTATTGCCAAACTATTTAAGTAACATTTTATTAGTTACCGAAATACGCAAATTTGCCTTGAAGAAACGATTTTGTATTGTATTGCTTACCGTTTCCGAATTTGAAATCACGAGTGCATATACATTTATAGTGATTTTAGACAAACGAAGAATTCAAGTAATCCTAGTAATTTCTCAAGTAATACATATTGGCCCAGCTTGGGCAGAACCCATGAACAACTCATAATTTTTAAATAAAGAAATTAATTTCTTGGGGCTTGACAGTACGAGGACAGCTTCTTCAAATAAGTTCATAAACTACAATATGCACAGCGAGAGCCAACATAGTGATAAAAGTGAGATGGATAAAAAAAGTGAGAAAATGTGAATCACCAGAATCCCTGCTACAGATGGTCTACAAGGAAAGAAGGAATGCCAGAAATTAAGGTATTACAATAATTACACCAGTGCTTTATTAGATAAACATCTTACCAAATATACACCATACATACATTACAGATATACATATACACATTTTAGATGAAAGATATATAACACCTGATACGTTCAGGTAGGAAATGTGAAATTACACATGCAAGTTTATTTGTTAGGTATAAAACATAATAATAACCTTTAAATACAATACTCAAAATCACAAGTTCAACAAAGTGAAAAGAAAGGTATATGTACAATACATTAACATAATAATAACAATAATAATCATCTTGATTAGGGGCAAAGTTTAGCATAGCACTATTCTGCCACTTATAAAAGACCAAATAGCACTTTCATTTTCATAGTCCTATATTCACATTAAACAATTGTAATTTAAGAATTGAATGTTGATATGAATAACATTTTAAGTATTATTTGAATACTAAAATGAAAAATATAAATGAATGAGATGTTGGAAGTTCATGAACTTTAGCCTTGCTTTTATTTTTGTATACTCAAATTGTGCATTAAGTTCTCTTGAAGTATCTTTTTCCAATTGTGCCAGTTTCTCCATGCTGGTATGTCTGAGAAAAGAAATAATGATTAAGTAAAAATATAATCCTTATGCTCTTTCTTCTATAACTTTTAATTACTTACAATTAGACATTGATCATCAGTAAACTCATAAGTCCTGGTAACTGTTGTACCATTTTGTGCTTTGGTATTTGTAACTAACTTGTTATCACCTTCCATAGTGGTGACACACTGAAATATTGTATGTTAACATGAATTTTGCTTTGTTTTGAAGTAATTCGTTATGTTCTGTCAAATGCTCTCTGTTTATTTTTTCTTTTATTACCCGAAGCTTTCCACCAGGCATATCTTCCTCATACTCCTCGCCAAGTTTGAATTCAGTAACTGCAGTTCTGAACAAGGTTATTGTAGTTATAGTCCACTTCTCCCCTTCTTTTTTTATTTCCATAGAAGGGCTGGAGTTGCACATAATTTTTCTTGGCACAAATGGTATGCCTATGAGATAAAAAAGTTTTGTACTTCACTTTATGCTGAATTATATCACATTAAAATTCAATATCTAAGGCAAATGTCACATGAACAGTCTTTACTGATTATTTATTCACAAGTGGCAATTGATTTTTCTACATAACCTTTACATAATAAATATCAGATTACCATGATATTAAGTACCAAATTTATATTTACGACAAAAGTATTATCACTTACCAATAGAGCTGAAAAATTCATTCAAATTTTCATTTTTTTCACATACGTATTTCCCCTCTATTTGCACCATCTTTACTAGCCCTTATGTAAATACTCAACGGATATGACTGAGTATGTTGTGTACGATGTGCAAGATCTTTAAATGAGATAAAATACTCTTATTGTAAAATGATAAGGTATTACAAACGAGACATAGATCTTTAAAATATGCAGTCTGCAACACAGGTTAGAGCTATCGTTACACTTTTGGGTTGAGCAGTAAATTTTTTAAAGTACGGATGACAAAGTACTCGTATAGACGTATAGTGAATTTCTTCAAATTTCCTCGTCGTCTCTAGAATGTTGTTTCGGCGGAAATATATCTAGATCATTCCCAAGATACATTGAACACAGTGACTTCCAAAATATAATTCTAATAAATTGTACATTATTTATTGTTCCACAGAGTCAACAAAAACCATATATTCGGTTTAAAATGATTCAAATGAATGTAAATGTTCTTCCCACTTTTTTAGTAAACTTTTTAATTTGACCATGATTTGACAACAAATTTGATATGAATATGAATAATTATGCTGGGCATATGTTTGGAAAATGAACCGATTTTGCACAGGCCAGGCCAAATAATTCAAACAAATTTCCCCATCACTATAAAAACACCGTCATCCGGCGTTTATAATCCAGTTGACAAGTGGACTCTGTAGGTCTACAAAATAATCACTATCGCTAGCTTTCCTTGTGATTTTTATTTTAAGAAATTAAGTTTAACCTGTTGAAATTATTAAAAAAATCTTTAATAGTTGATACGATAAAAAGTTTATTTTTAAATTTGGTGCTCGTTACGTACCGAAATGTCCCGAATGTAAGAAAAAACCTTTTAAATTGGACCGCGTTATGCATAACTTGACCATGCGCCATTTGATAAATTACCAGATTTTGCTACCATCTGATGCACATTAGTTCAACTTACCTATAACAAAATGCAGGCAGTATAGAGACCTGAGGTTCAAAAGCGAAAACATTTTTAACTAAGAGCCAAGCGTAATTTTTGTTGTTATTTATTTTGCAACACATGACCAAACGACAAGATCTTGTGTAGAGTAGGCATTTGCACTACCAAAGTTTTGCATAAAGCGAACAACCAAATTAGAGAAATTGAGGTGCTTAAATTAAAGACAAGCCTTTCAGTATTTTTTTAAAAAACTAAATTTGAAGCTCCCTCTAAAGAGATTAACATTGAGAAAAGACGTGGCAGACCCTGGAATGCTTCGATTCAAGCATTGCTTAGTAAACCCCTCGAAAAACTGTGGCCATATTGGAAACCTATAGCAGAAAAGAAGATAAATCATTACTAAGCCTTATACCCAAGGATTCCAAGAAGCTCTATAGGAATCTAGTTGGCGATTCAAGTATTGAGGAAGATATAGATATAGCTGGGTTCAATGGTCAACCAGATTTCGAGCTTGAGGATGATTAGATAATACAAATTTTCGATTCAGGTTCTTGATTCATTTCGAAAATTATTTTATTTAAGTTAAATTTTATTTTATATATTTAAATTTTATTTAATAAAATAATAAAATTTATAATTTCAGAATAATTTTAAAAATTTATAAAGTTTTTTTCATTAATTATTTCCTTAATAAACAATTTTCAATAAAATTTTTTATATTGCTTGTTAAAGGGTTCTTGCTTCATTTTATTTCTGAATCAGTATATAATCGAGTTTATTACAACATTTGTCATTCAAGCAATTTCTTATTTGCTTTCGCGAATATTTTAATTTGTCTAGTTGTAATTTTTCAATGAATTTGATGCTAATTACTAAAATACAAAAATAAGGAATCTTTCTGTAATGCGTCCCCTATTTTGCATAGCATAACCAAGTAACATTCTTGTGTTGAGGTCATATTAAGTCATTAAGTTTTTGAAAAAATGATTGCATACATAAATTTGTAATATCATTTTCTATTCACAGAACAACAATCATTCAACACAATCGTAGCATTGATTTTTAATGAATGGTTAAAGTTTATTCATCCTCCTCAAAAACAGAGTTTGTCGCTTGGTCGTCAAGTCATGCATAACACGGTCCAATTGATTCAATCTTGCCATACCCATTTCGGATGGTTGTCGACAGTGTTACCAGGTCTTCCGATTTTCGGCAGATCTACCGATTTTTATCCTGGTCTACCGAACTACCGATTTTAAAGCAAAATCTACCGAAAAGTGGACTTTTCTTTCAATTGAATAATTTTTGTTCCCTATATAAGAGAAATATATCTGATGCATAGCGATAAAAAGAATGACAAAAAGACTATTACTATTCATATTAGACCAGATATATATATATATATATATATATATATATATATATATATATATATCGCCCTGTATAGGGCACTGATAGCAGCTGTCCCGTAATTTCGATCCGGAAAATTTTTGAGACCAAAAGCGAGATAACCGAGGTATTTATTATGGAAACTGACCCAGGGGGGTCACGAAATGGCGCTTCCACCATGGCAATGGAGATGGAGTCGAAGGAGCAGACCATAGAGGAGTTGAGAGCCGAACTGGAGATGGTTCGACAGGAGCTGATGATAAGAAGACCAATGAAAGATTGATGATGATCATCGAATCCCAGCAGCGGACAATTACCGACCTAACAGTTAAATTAGACCTCCTACTGAAAACCCAGGTACCTTCCCATTACACATTCTTCCCAAACACTCCAACAAAATCCCAGTAAAGCCATAGCTGTCAATCTTAAGACACCATTAAATAATTCAAGCGATCTTTCCACTGACGACGATACATTCCCTGACGGTTTTACCAAGGTTAAGCCCCGTAAAACGCGACGAAACAAGACCGACACGTCAGGCTTTCCTCCTCTCCCTCCACCAAAATCGCAGTCTGAAATGTCTCGTTCAACTGCAAGCGACTCGAATAAACAGCCTGTGCCTAATCTATCGGTTAATTCTTCGCCTTCGACATCTCAGGTATCAGAAGACACGACTGCACAGCCCCCACGCAAGGTACGTGTTACCCCCATCGTTCTTCGCGATGCTTCGAGATGGCGAGGCGTAAATCACGAGTTTATTTCTTTGGGCATCAAATTCGAACGCGCGGTTGCCGTTTATGCAGGAATCAGGATAATTCCCAAGTCCTCGGAGAGGAACATTCATGCTGTAATCAGAGGAGTACCTGCGACACTTTCGGAAACGGAGATCAAGGAAGAATTGCAACAGAGGAGATGTTCCCCCCTGCACATAATTCGCCTGAAACACGGTGGCGGCGTGCCCATGCCTTTGGTGGTAGTCCTACTGCCCAAGATAGAAAAATCTCAGCAGCTGTTCAACGAACATGAGCTGCTAGGTTTGGCTATCCGAGTCGAAGTTCAAAAGAACTCAAGACTCATCGGGCAGTGTCACCGCTGCCAAAAATATGGGCATGCGCGATCTTACTGCACTGCACCACCCAAGTGTCTAAAATGTGCTTCTGACCACATGACCCACTTATGCCCTCAATCAGAACAAGAGGAACGAAAAACGAAAAAATCAGTAAGTGATAGCGCAAATAAGTAAGTTACGCGGATGCAGCTAGGGATGCAACCCGGGCTGCCCCCTCTGTGGGATCTTCTGCGAACACGCAAAATGTGGACCTGGCAACCGCGCTAAGGTCCTCTGATTAGCGCAACACAGGCTTTGCAGGCGATCTTTCCTGCAAATGGCTAGGTACAATCGACGACAGCCTGCATTTATCAAAATTCTTTTTTGGAATTGTTTGGGTCTAAGGGACATTCCCGAAAAACGGAAATTTCATCAAGCTCTTTTGGACGAAAGAATAGATGTGGCCTTGCTGCAGGAAACATTACTTGATCCGGGAGATCGTCTAGCTGTCCCAAATTTCGATGTTACTCCGGGCTGATAGATTGACTGGACGGGGTGGCGGCTTGGCAGTGCTAGTGAAACGCGGTATTGGCTACCACAGAAGCACAAACGCTGAGATGCAGAGCATCGAAGCGGCTTCCGTGGTGGTCAATATGATGGGAGGTGTGCCGTTAAAAATCACATCGGTGTATGTCAGGTGTGGTATCAGGCTGCAAGAGGCGGATCTGTAAGTCCTTTTAGACTGCCCGGGTCCACTTATTGTGGCAGGGGACTTCAACTGCAAACATCGAGCATGGCATTCTAGGTTGAATTCCACCAGTGGGATCCGACTGTACAACCATGTGATACGAAATGGCTACCTCATACATAGTACTGAGGAGCCGACGCACTACCCATTTAATCACCTTCAGGCACCTGATGTTCTTGATTTTGCATTATGCAAAAACTGTAGATACAGTATCACTTCTCTAATCATGTATGACATCTCAAGCGAGCATCTTCCCGTGCAGCGACACGGCAGACCTTTTCTGCCAGCAGACATTCGTCAGAAGATTTCTGATAAAAGGGCTGCAATTAAGCAAGCGAAAAGGTCTTGTCATCCTGATGACATTCGCAGAGCGACGAATCTTGTTCATGAAGTAAGAAATGCTCTTCATGAATTCCGCAATGAGCAATGGAACGACTTTCTGGAGGGGATGCTTGACTCAAGCATTCCTCTCTGGAAGGTGGCGAAGTCGCTCAAAAACGGAAAGCGTGAACAAATCCCACACATTCACGATCCTGGAGGCATTGTCTTCAGAACAGAGGAGAAGGTTGAGGTTTTCGCTGATGCCATAGAAAGACAGTTCTCTCCCAACTATGATCTTGATAATGACCTCGACGAGGAGCAACACATCGTAAGATCTGTCAGGAGATATTTTAGGGCCAACGGCGTCAGTGACAGTCGCGCTATCGTTGGTGATTTTTCTTCATCAGAAGATTCTTCTTCAGAAGCTTCTTCAGCCGAAGATCTGCTTAGCACATCAGCGGCATCTTCTGAGATCCCGCATTGCACACCAGCAGAGATTCAAGGTCATATTAAAGACCTTAAAGTGCGTAAAGCACCTGGGGAGGATCAAATCACTAATAAGGCGCTGAAGCTGCTTTCGCGGAAGTCCTTAACTTATCTCGTGGCAATAGTCAATGTCATGCTAAGGATCCAGTACTTACCATCCGCGTTGAAGACCGCTGAAGTTATAATAATCAAATCCAAGCGGATAACCAAAATTTCCGTATTATGTACCGCGGTTATAATATGGTTCAAGATGACACACGGGATGATGACGTCAGATACTCGAATCGCTTGAACGCGTTGGTTTTAACCGCGGTTTGTTGCAAGTTGTTTATTTTAGAAAAGCGCGTTTATAATTTCTGATTATTTTTATTATCACTTAATAATCGGTGCTTTTTCGTCCACAACGGGGTATGGAAAGTTGAAAAAAAGAAAACTTTCATAATATTAATGGGAGGAAAGTTTTTTTTTCAGAAAATTTTGTTTACTTATGGAACCATGGCTTTGTAGCTATGATAACTTTCAATTCTCTAAACTTTTCCGCATGTCAAAGAAAATATTTATTGATTTAGCAGAAATGATGAAAAAGCGATGAAAAAAAGATATTAACAAAACCGTATTCAGGTGGACATCACCCAGTGAGTTTATACAGCCATATTTTAATATTCTTGTGGTATATGGCTATACAGGATACTTTGTTAAGCGTAGGAACTGGATTTAAAGTGAACCCAACAACAGTAATGGTTATAAATAATAAGGTGCTCTCTTATGCTAAAACTGAAGTCAGCCTGCATCAAGTTTCCCAAAAATGAAGCTGAAGTACAATAAAAATATCCAATACCCGGCAAAATTCTAACTTGTCACATGTCAAATAATAACCAGAAATATAAAACTACTCCCGAGTTGGGTAAATACCACAATTTTGCGGTGATAACTATGACATATAACAGCTGATTCATGACGTCACGGATCTTATAACCAAACTGATAACCACACTGGCTTGAATGGATCGGTAAATACCAATCCAAAATGATAAATACCATTTCCATTTGGTTATTCGCTTGAATTTGATTAATGATTCCAAAGAAGGTGGGTTCGATATTTCCCCAGGGTTATCGTCCCATTAACCTGCTGTCAGCTCCGTCTAAGCTCGCTGAAAAGGTGATTCTACGTCACCTTCAGAATTTCTCGTCAGATCACCATGTGATTCCTGACGTGCAATTCGGTTTTCAGTTCGAACATAGTACGGAGCTACAGGCGGTTAGGCTGGTGGAACGTGTAACCAGAGGATTCACCCTTAACGAAAGTACTGGCATCTTGCTTTTGGATGTCTCAAAAGAATTTGACAAGGTGTGGCACGCGGGCCTCTTGTATAAACTAATCCAAAAGGGCTTCCCTTTTTGGCTTCTAAAACTACTGAAATCCTTCCTTGAAGGTAGGAAATTTCGGATCTAAATTGACAATGTCCTGTCGACAACACGGCTGATTACAGCCGGCGTCCCTCAGGGTTCGGTCCTTGGACCTATCCTTTACTCACTGTACATCCATGACGTCCCTAGTCCAAGCAACTGTGAAGTCTATCTCTATGCTGACGATACTGCATTGGTGGCTCAGTCGTGGTCTGGTGACCTAGTCCATGACAGGCTGCAAAGTGCGGCCGAGGAAGTATTAGATTGGGCGGATCGGTGGCTAATTAAAATAAACCATTCGAAAACGCAGGCAATCTACTGTACAAAAAGACGTCGCGGCGTTCCGTCTGAAGTTTCAATGAATGGAACTCGTATACCATGGGAATCCTCCGCTAAGTATCTCGGTGTCATTCTGGAGAAAGGGATGACTTGGCGAAACCATATACCTGTAGAAGCGCTAAAAACTAAATTCCAAATTACGTTTCGCCAGCTTTACCCATTATTATGTAAACGTTCAAAATTAAGTTTGAATAACAAGATTCGACTCTATAAGGTGGTCATAAGACCAGCAATGACTTACGCATGTGCGGCTTGGTGTTTTATTGCTAAAACACACATGCGAAATCTGCAGGTTCTGCAAAGCAGGACGTTGCGCACTTTTGCTGATGCCCCGCATGGCATGTCTCTAACGAAACTCTACACAGAGACCTCGATGTTCCTTACCTAAAGGACTACATTAAGCAACAGGCGCCGCGGCGCTATAGTCTAGCGGAATCGCACAGCAACCCACTGATGCGTGAGTCAGTGGACTACACAGTCGAGCAAGTTCGCAAGCACAAAAAGCCGCGGCTCGCACTGTAATCAAAATTAACTCGTGAACTTAGAACAACCAAAATTGGAGCATTTTAACAAAATCTTTAGAAAAAATCGAATATTTTTAGACAATATCAAAATCTGTGAAGTGATTTTAACAATGCCTAAACGCTGCCTATCCTAAAAGATCCTCTTCTTCCCCTTTGCTCTCGTTCTTCCTTCTCTCATTTCCTTCCCTTTTTTCCTTAAAATTGTCTGGTTTCTGGGTTACCAGACCTGACAGACTTACAAACTGACACTGTGACTCAAGAGCTAAGGTCCCACGGACCGCTCTGACAACCAACGATGACTTGAACCAGACATATTTTTATTCTCTTTGCCTGACATTGGTGTGCGACATACGCTGATTCTTCGCATCTGGGGAATCACCGAAGATACTCGATGATTTGGCTACATCGCCAAGGCCTAGCGGCTCGTGACAAGTCCATGCCTGTATTGTACGATTTGTATGATTTCGTGTACTTAGTAACTCCGAATTCGGCCAGTATTAGTATCGCCTGTCTTGCAGTAACATTTTTTTTTTCACGTCGTGTGCCCAACATTATAAGGAAGACTGGGAAGAATTGTCAGATTTACAAGGCTGGCTTAAAAAAGCAATAAAGGGCGCGATTATGCGAAATGCATGGTCTGTGATAAAGATATTAATATCAAAATAGGAAGTGATGCACTTATAAAACACGCAAATGGGCAATTTCATAAAAAAGTGCAAACCATAGCAAAACAGCCAAAATTGATGTCATTTACAGTTGCAGGTGCATCAAAGAAATCAGAAAATGATATTAAAGAAGGTAAAATTAATTAATCTATTTGAGAAGATTTGAGATTATATAGATTATTTTATTATTTCCAGGAGAAATTCGTTTGAGCGTATTTTTGGCCGAGCATAATTTGCCATTCCTGCTGCAAAGCAAAATTAGTAGATAATATGACTGATAAAAACTATTCAAAAATGAATCGGAAGAATGATTATCCAATAGAGCTTACAGATTTTTTATTTTATACACCTTTTATTAAGAATATTTTATTTTTAGTTAGCTAAAGTGAGATATAAACTTTTTATTTTTGTTTTATCTTTCTGTTTTAGAGTATATTTTGAGTTAAATAAAATTGTTTTAAGTCAATGCCTTCATTTACTCTTCGGTATTCAATTTACCGAAAAATTCCATACAATTCTACCGAAATATCGTCGACTCCACCTGGCAACACTGATTGTCGACACCCTCTTTCCTCATCGACTATTTGTAGAATCAGAATCACTTCCCTACTCGAGCTTCAGCCTCTGACCGATGTGGTGAATCAAATTTCCGGTAGTTTCTTAGCAACCGCTGATACAAATTTCAAACAATTCGAAACGTGATGGCACCGTCAAAAGATGATTTCACAGAAAATAAAAATGTACTCTTGGTCAACGCATCAAAACAAGAAATATTCAAACTTACCGAGAACTACAAATCTTTTCAAAGAAAGTTGAAACTATATTGGAGGATAATCGTCAATAAAGATGAAATTACTGAGCAGTTGTTGTACAACTGCTCTGTTGTGGTGTTGCCAGGATCTCAGACTCCTTTTGAAGAAAATGAAATCTCAGCTTTAAAGGGATACATACAACGTGGGGGTAGAGTGCTAGTACTACTTTCAGAAGGTAGTTCCAATGATCAAAGTAATGTGAATGTTTTACTTGAAGAGTATGGAATCGTCCCTAAGATTGACAGCTTGATTCGGACACACTACTATAAATATTTACACCCTAAGGAATGTTATATAGGAGACAGTCAAGTGCATTCAGCCATAATCAAAGAAAAAGATGAAATGAAGCTAGTATATCCTTTTGGATGTACCATGGCAGTCACTAAACCCAGTGCTATAGCCTTCACAAGTGGCGTGTCATGCTTTCCTGTTGATAAACCCCTGGGCGCCATCTATTATGATGAAAAATCTGGAGGAAGACTAGTAGCAATAGGTTCTGGTCACATGTTTTCAGATAAGTACCTGGACCAAGAGAATAATGAGAAATTTAGAGAGGCAATAATGTATTTCCTCACTGAACAATCTCCTATCAATTTTACACCAACAGACAATGATGATATTGATCTCACTGAGCAGTATATTGTACCCGATACAGCAGAATTAGCTGAGAGGCCTAAGTTGTGCCTTACTGATGCAGCTGGGTATAGCAACTATGTTGACTATACCAAACTTTTTGACCATCAAATGTATTCTATGAACACCAGTCTTGTCCCTGTAGCTTTGAAACTATATGAAGAGTTGGGGGTGAAGCATGAGCCATTGAAGATAATAACACCAAAGTTTGAGACACCATTCCCTACACTACAACCAGCCGTCTTTCCACCAGCTTTTAGAGACTTGCCTCCACCTCCATTGGAACTGTTTGATTTGGACGAAGCATTCAGTTCAGTGTTTTCAAATTTGTCACAGTTTACAAATAAGTATATTATGAATAGTGATGAGAAAGAAGATTTGGATCTGTTTGTTAAAGGATGTGCTAGAATTTTGGCCATTGGAGCTACTAAGCCTGTGGATGTGCTGTATAAAATTGGGAGCGAAATTGCAAAGTTTAAAAGCATAGATACTATTAAGTAGCACCTAAGTGTGTAATGATAAGAATGATTTTCATACTTATTTCCAAAAAGAGGTCTGCTCATTTTCATACTGGTGGGGAAGAATGTTTATCAACCAAGTACTAATTTTGTAACTTTCATTATCATAGAACTGTTTGTTATCTTATTATCTAATATTGAGGAAATACGAAAAATGGTTAACACTAAATAATAAATATATTTACAAGTATTTACTATTTATTTTACAATGGACTAAGATCATGTTATGCTATAATATTGTACATCCTCCTGTATATGGAAGATCAATGCTCGGTGGTACTTCACCCTTAAGTTCTTTGGATTTTACGTTCAAGTATGTGTTTTCATATTCTTTCTGCATATGTTCAGGTAATGGTTTATTCCAATCTGCAGGTGCTTCTTTTCTTTTTTGCCAGACATCATTCTGGACATGGGGCAGTAGTCTGTTTCTCCTCCTGACTTTTTCACTGTGAACCAGTGCCCTCTTGAGCAAATAATGTAAAAACCATATTAAAGGAGTTGGCTGGTATGAATTTTTAATAATAGTTTTTCAAATGAGTGATCAAATATATGTGGATACACAGTATGTTCTTAGAAAAACTTGGGATATTGAGGACACTTACAGCAGCTTCAGCATCTTCATTGTCAATCCATTTATGACAGCTTATAGAATCTTTCTTCCACTGGGAGCAGTCCAGAGTTTTGCCATAAATAAAGTACTGGTTGAATCTAGCGGCGAAAGATGTACAATCACTGTATTCAGCATCGTATACTCTGCATGGTCTGATCTGCAATATTTTCCATAGAGCATATTTTTAAAATATAAGTTTTTGGTAATACCATCCATTGATCCTTGATTTTCTTCACTTCTTTTACTTGTTCTTTGGAGTTTTCATCTTTAGCTTGTACAGTAGTCATTCTGGTAACGATAAAACATATGGTTCCGAATTACTAAAAATCTTCAAAAATTTTAAAATGGTTTTTAAAAAAAGTTAAAAATGAGGTTATGCCTTCCGTACAGCGCTTTGCCATAGCATAGCGCCAATTATCATCACCTGTCATGCTGTCGCCATAAAACATATGACTTTGACTGTGCTTTGACCTAAGACAGCGGACAGCGATATACAGGAACATCAATCAAATTCAAGCGGATAACCAAATGGAAATGGTATTTACCATTTTGGGTTGGTATTTACCAATCCGTTCAAGCGAGTGTAGTTATCAGTTTGGTTATAAGATCCGTGACGTCACGAATCAGCTGTTATATGTCATAGTTATCACCGCAAAATTGTGGTATTTACCCAACTCAAGAGTAGTTTTATATTTCTGGTTATTATTTGAAATGTGACAAGTTAGAATTTTGCCGGGTATTGGATATTGTTATTGTACTTCAGCTTCATTTTTCAGAAAAATGATACAGGCTGACTTCAGTTTTACCATAAAGTGGAGCACCTTATTAGTTATACTCATTACGGTTGTTGGGGACACTTTAAATGTAGTTCATATGCTTAACAACGTATCCTGTGTAGCCATATACCACAAGAATATTAAAATATGGCCATATAAACTCACTAAATGATATCCACCTGTATACGGTTTTGCTAATTTCTTTTTTCATCATTTCTGCTGAATCAATAAATGTTTTCTTTGACATGCGGAAAAATTTAGAGAATTGAAAGTTATCATAGCTACAAAGCCATGGTCCCATCATTAAAAAAAAAATCTGAAAAAACATTTCTCCCATGAATATTATGAAAGGTTTCTTATTTAAACTTTCCATATATTTACCGTTGTAGACGAAAAAGCACCGATTACTAAGTGATAATAAAAATAATCAGAGATTATATACGCGCTTTTCTAAAATAAACAACTTGCAACAAAACCGCGGTTAAAACCAACGCGTTCAAGCGATTCGTGTAACTGACGTCATCAACCCGTGTGTCATCTTGAACCATATTATAACCGCGGCACATAACACAGAAATTTTGGTTATTCGCTTGGATTTGATTATATGTTATATTATCGATGGTTCTGAAACCACTAAAGCCATGTCTACAGGAGACGCACAATAAGTGTATTGAAAAGATGAATGGACTAAGTTTTGGTAAGAAATCTAACTCTTTTTAGTACGGCTGTCAAATAGTAACCAAAAGATATTAAAATTTTGTTTCTAGACGGCGACGTGAAACTAGTCTTTACTTAGTATTATTTATCATGGTTCCCCTTCATAAGAGATTTTTTCGCCAGATCCCGTAGTGAACCGGAGCGGGAACAGATGGAATTTCATTTCCCCGTCCTCTCGAAGTTTGACAGTTTCAAGTTACACCAGGAGTGGTTAGATGGCGCATGCTGTGCAAAATGTTTCCTTTAAGGTCCTTGCTAAACTCTGCCTTGTTTGAATCTGTAATAAAAAGACCGATCGTTTTATGTGCAATGTACATATATATATCAATAAAAACAAACATTTGATATGACAAGTGCGGTTCATATATCTTCGATGACCTTCTCAGTCGTCATTTAAAATCAGGTGGACGTGTTCCTCCATTTATGATTTAATAATTTAACTCAATTTTCGGTACTGCGAAGACAAATTTTCAATTGAGATACCTGTTTTTTAAATGAAATTGACAATTGACATAAGACTTGTCACCTGCTAGTACCTCACAGACGTTATTGGGGTACCCGTACCATGTGATTTTTTGACATTCGGACGACGTCACATCCGTCTTCTCCTATTCCCGTTCTTCGCGAAAATTTGAATATCGGTCTATCGGTTCCCAGTAGTGCACTGTGCTACACCGTGGACTCGCGAAAAAATCCTTAGTGTCAAAGATAACCTAATTTCTAATTTCAAACATGTGAGAAAAATAAACAAACTGATTTCAATTTTACAAGAATATTCATATAACAATGGGGCTGACTAAGAATTCAAAATCGTACAATCAGAAAAATGTGAGAAAATCAAGAAAACAGCTTCGGAAAGAAATGCGAAAACAGAAAAAACAAAAACGTGGTTTGTACATGAACAGGAAAAAGTTTTCAAAGAATGTTTTACCAACCCTAGATATTGAAGTTTGCACAAAACATATAATTGAAAAACCAATACCACATGATACAAAAGCTCCTAAACAGAGTTTTGAGAGAAATCCAGAACCCAGCAACCAAAAAAATTTCCAAAAAGATATCTCAAGTGAACAATTACAAAAGAAAGATCGAATAAAGCAAAAACGCCTTGAGAAAGAAATGTTAGAGCACAGAAAGAAAAAACTGCTGGATGCAAATGCTGAAGAGGATCGGATTATTAAACAATTAGAAAAGAAACTTGGACTTAACAAAAGGAAAAGCAAAACATTACCCAAAGCATTTAAGGAGGATGGTTTAGGTAAACCATTTGACATTATATTCTGTATATCATTGATGTTCATGAAAGTTATATATGGTGATACAAAAACCAAGATATTAATAAATATTTTGATAGTGTTGCTGTCTTCATTTGACAGTCAATGCATCATGGGGACTCAGCTATGGTTTTTTTAGATTACTTGATGGAGTTATGTGATGCTGAGGGAATGAAAGAAGCAGTTGCTGCAGAGCAAGCCCTAGAGACAGCCAATGTTGATGAGTTTGCTGAAGATTTTGCTACAATTCTAGGAAAGGATGATGAAGATATGGATTCTAAGGCAGACGATGGTGAATTTTTGTTTCCTAAAACACAATTTTTCTGTTTAAGGTGTATAATAATTCATATTTCAACAATTTCCAGGTGATTCAACACTCAAAGATGAAAATTGCGAATTTGATGATGTTGAAGAAGAAGAAGATATAGACAATGCAAATACAGATGACAATGAAGATGATATAAATTCAGAAGATAGTGGAACCGAACTGGACTCTGAAGACATTATTGATTCAGAAAATTCTACAGAGAAAATGATACTGCAGAAAAAATATGAGACCAAGGATGAAAGTGATAGTGTCAATAATAACAAGAAAAGGAAACTAAATGAGGAACTGTGTAAAAAGAAAAAACAAAAAATATCAGATAGTTCAGAAGAAGATACTGATGACGGAGAGTATGCTTCAGATGCATCGGAAGCATCTGAGGTTCATATTAAAGGTGCTGTGAAGATCAACAAAGATGGTACTTGGGAAGATATATATGGTAGGCTTAGAGCAAAAGATGGATCTGTTATTTCACAAAAAGAATCCAAGTATGTTCCTCCAGCTTTAAGACAAGATAACTCAAAGCAATCTGAGAAGCTGACAAGACTCCGGAAACAGCTGAAAGGTTTACTAAATAGATTGACAGAAAGCAATATGCATAGCATAGCAACTACTATAGAAGATATGTATATGAACAACAGTAGGAATGACATGAATGAGTCTCTGACATCACTTATTTTGGACACATTGGTTACAGAGATAACTACACCAGAAAGATTGCTGATAGAACATGTTGTACTTTTGACAGTGCTTCATGCTAATGTTGGCACTGAGATTGGAGCACATTTCTTGCAACAAGTTGCTTCAAAGTTTGATATATTCTTATCTGGAAGTCATGATGTCGAAAATAAGATGTTGGATAATATAACTAAAATAATAGCTCAGCTGTATAACTTCCAATTATTTGATTCAAAACTAGTATATGAAATGCTAAGAAAGTTTTGTGAATTTTTTGATGAGAAGTGTATTGAATGCATCCTACATGTTCTGAGAAGTGTAGGTTTTAATTTGAGGAAGGACAATCCTTTTGAGTTGAAAAATTTTATTGTTGAAGTACAAAAGAAGGCTTCAGAAATATCAGAGGAAGACAGAGATAACTGTAGGGTGAAGTTTATGTTAGACATATTGCTGGCTATAAGGAATAATAATGTTAAAAAGATTCCAAACTATGATGTTTCCTATCCAGAACATTTGAAGAAAGTTATGAAAGGTTTTATTAGGAAAGGGAATTATGTGACTCAGTTAAATATTGGGTTAGAAGACTTGTTGAAGGCTGATGAAAAAGGAAGATGGTGGGTTGTAGGGTCAGCTTGGTCAGGGAACCAGAATAAAGATAAGGAGCAGACAGAAGTTGTGAAAAATAACGAAAGTTACTCAACTAATATTCTGGAATTAGCTAGACAACAACATATGAATACAGATACAAGGAGAAATATTTTCTGCATTATAATGTCTGCTGAAGATTACTTGGATGCATTTAACAAGACCTTGCATCTTAGTTTGAAAAATCAACAAGAACGCGAGATTGTAAATGTCATTTTACATTGTTGTCTTAGAGAAACGAAATACAATCCCTATTATTCTTTCTTAGCTCAGAAGTTCTGTGATTACGACAGAAAATTTCAAATTATGATCAAATATGCCGTTTGGGACAAGTTGAAGGCGCTTCAAAGTTGGAATCAACAAATCTCGAATCTAGCTAAACTTCTGACGCATCTTTTCATAGAAAAAGGACTCGTCATATCAGTTCTGAAAGTTGTGGAGTTTAGTGAGTTAGATAAGGTAACCTTGAGATTTATAAGGCAGATTTTGATAGGGATCCTGCTTCATAAAGTTGAAGAGGATTGTCTTCAAGTGTTTTTGAAGGTTTCCAAGTCGGATAAGCTGAAAATATTCAGGGATAGTCTGAGGTTGTTTATCCATCATTTCTTGCTGAAAAACCTTAATTCTGAAGGTATACCCGAGGAGCAGAAGCATTTGTTGGAGCAGAGGGCAAAAGCAGTGGAAAAAGTTCTTTCTGTGAAAGAATCAAAGTGGTGAATGTTTGTTGTTGAGATATATTTATATTATTTGAGTAAAATCTTATTTTTATAAGCGTTTTTTCATTTATTAAGCGACGTTTATAGTATGGGAATACTATATGCTAGCTAAAGCCAAGATGGATCTGGGTCTTGGGCCTGCCTATCTCATATACAGGGTGTTTCAGAAAAATGTGGCTGTATTTCTAGGGCAGAAAGTACACCCAAAAATAACACAAAAGTTCCTTCAAACATAGGTTCCAAAATAACATGTATTACTATACTATTAAGATACAAATTTCTACGCTACTGACGCGACTGAATAAAGGCAAAACACGAACATTGTACAAAGAAGCCTACCTATGGGTATTTAGGATTATTGTCCTAATACACTAAATATAATTTTCGATGTCAATGTAATTAATTTCAGCGTATTTTCAAAGTTGAATTTTTGTGTACAGATTTTATATCGACTAAATTTTTCTTAAAAAAAAGTCTGACAAAAGTTTCTCAACAGAGGCGATTCATGTGTTAACTGAAAACGTTCAAAAATGCTATCGTTGCTCCAAAAAAGTCAGTTGCGTAAAACATAATTTTTTTCTCCTGTAGGAATCAAATTTTCCCAATTTCTACACTACTGCTGAAATCTCAGGCACGAACATTTTTGTTTGTTTTGGCTCTGATGTCAGTACTAAATGAACAACATTTTAAGTCAGTATCTTAATCCAGTCTGAGGATATAATTTATTTGCGATTTCGAAATTATACCTAACTTCCAACTTTCTGTATCCCGGTGAGATCGCATTTGAGGACCCATGTTTACATGAACTTTTCGTGTAATTTTTTATCCACTTTATACCCTAAAAATATTGCCACGTCTGTATAGCGTCTTAGAAGTACCTGGCCAAACTTCAGGTGGTGATTTTAAGATGACGTAGTAAGCATAGTCCTAGGTAACGATTCGTTTTCATTACACCACTCATTTAAAAATACGTAATTCATAAAAAGTCGTGCCACTTTTGCTAAAATTTGTTGAAGTTTAGTAACTACACACGTGCCGCCGAAAATCTAGATTAACCCAAATAAGAAAAAAAACCCAGACCACAAAGGGAAAATATTTTAGCGCATCGCATTACAATATTTGGAGTTTTGATAAAACATTTTTGTATTTTTTTATTGAGGAGCCTTTTGCTCAGAATGAACCGATAATCTAATAATAATAAGCTGATAGGTTGTTATGAAAATATCTATGAAAATATTTTTCCGGCGTGACCTAATTTTTAGTCTTGTCTATTTGCAAAAAATCTGACAAATCGCGTGATCGTATAAATTCATTGAAAAACGCTAATTTACTTGTGCAGCCAGCTGCGAGTACCTACAGTATATTCAGATAAGAGATAGACCGGATGTAAACAAAAGGTTCGGGTGATTTTCACGCTAACGCCGCCGTCTCGACGTAAAACAGGAGCCCTCATTGGTCAATTCGCAATTAAATGCCTATGCCGAGCGGCAGAGCAATCGTATCAAGGCAGAGTCACATTCAGGTTCAGACGTGTTACGTATGTCGTGTGCATCATTGCAATTTGATATTTCTTTGGACGTTTTCGTTTGTTATCTTATTAAGTTGTTGAGTTTGTCGTTGTTATTGTTATACCTTGTTATAATTATAGGCTAATTTAAACGCCATTTTGAGATTATATTCGACTGTATTTCACCAAACATCAGGCGGCATCCGAAGCTGGAAATCGAAGCGAAAATTTTGAAACCCTTATGTATATTTACATCATTATATATTTCTTACCCCACCCCCACATGATCCTATATCCATCACCAATCGTATACACATCGAATTGTGCTAATTTACTACAAAGTTACGCAAAGCAGCATCTACTATCTAAAATATGTACTGCGTGACTCTTAATACGTCCCTGCCGAATGTTACAGCGTTCGATGATCACGTGGTCTTGTTTATGTCCGGTCTATCTCTTATCTGAATATACTGTAATAACGCGTACTTTGAGGTTGTGAAAATATAACTGCACCAGTTTTAATGATTGAAGTATAAATATAAAACGACACATGTTGAACCATTTTAACTTCATGTTACATCCATCGCTAAGGAGTATGGGAAAAGTGCATATATGAGAATATTTTTCCAAGAAAAACGAAAAGTTCTGCGAACCTATCATTGTTTGCATGCTCGGCTAATAATAAGGCATACTTTTGAAGGTCGGTTATAGAAAAATAGACATAGGTCTGATCGAGTTTTTCAGGTGGACAACATCATATTAATTCGTAGTAACATGATCTGATTAGAATATTTTTTCCAATGGAGCCGATGATTTATCCTTGTCCACTGACGTATTCAGAAAAAAGTTTTGGAGGGGACTCAGCAGGGGTCCATGGACTCATTTTTCATCATTATTTTTACGGTTGTTCAATTTTACTGGAGTCTCATCGCTTCCCGATCAAGCGTCGATCATGCTACTTTTCATTTGATGATGAGAAATATTGCGGTACGTTTTTCAATTACTAGAGAGCATTCAAAATGCGCCTAACCTGGCTACATCCCGTAGAGATGCACCAATAAATTGACAAACTGTAGCTTTCATATTGGTTACACATATTCCTTCTTTTTCTGGATAAGATTTAAGTATTTTGTAAAGTTACAGAATAGTACAGATTTATTAAGAGAAGTACTAATGCTGTTTTAGATGATGAAATACCTACGTATCCTGCCGTACTGAGGTAAAAGGCGTTAAAGTATAAAAAACGAAGTCAAAGAAAATTGAGTTCAAAATCCCGTATGTTTTCAAACCAAATGGATGGAATGATTCTATCTGAACAAAAGTGAATGCATATTGCATGACTTCATAGAGATTCATTTAAATGTGATTTGAGAGAATAATCGTTCCGAGGCCTAAATACAATAAGTGAAATTATTGTAAATCAAAAAACATTTACTGCTCTTATACTGTGGTCTTCTCGTAGCATTGTGAATTTATTTATGTTATTTTTTCAAAGGAAAAACGTACTTAGTATAATATGTTTTTTACTTCATTTTGATATAATTTATTCATACTTAAGTTCACATAGACAGCCCAAAAATAAATCTTAACATTTGCAATTCAATTTAATAATTGAAGACATAAGTGGATAAAAGTGTCATGTCACATTTCTTACCAAAATCATCTTTTTCGATTGTCCCCCTCATATACCTATGCAACCTGTTAGAAGTTATATACATATTAATAATCCTTTGTAAAAAAATTATTTCAGTTGATAAAGGTATGGCATGAGAAGTGAATTTGCGATTATTTCAGTTGATAAATGTGCTATATCCTAATATATGACATAAAACCGCTATCAACTAAATAAGTATCGATAGATAGTTGCTGGTGACATACCACCTTTGAGGCTATGTCTTGCGAGTCTACTCGGTGTCAAACACGCGTCAAGTTGTACTGGCCGCAGGATATTTGTCGTAATAGACGGTTCCACCTCTTCATCCTACAATCTTAACTCGGATGTTCCCCAAGGATCGGTCTTGGCTCCAAAATTGTGCCTCTCACATATCAGCGACCTGCTTTCCTGTACGATCAATCCGAACCACAGCTTTGCTGATGACATATGCAGGGATCCAGAGTGACAAGCCGGTTCCTGCCGATGAGCTAGAGAAAGGAAGACTATCAGCAACTTTCCTTCTGACGAGAGACCTGGAGGTTATCACTGCTTGAGGACGCAATAATTTTGTACTGTTTATGCTTCCAAAACACAGTACCTTAATAAGAATCGTCCTATAGCGCGTATAAGGATTCGATGGATGAGCGAGTTTTACCAAATAGTGGTTTATTTCGGCTGGTCGGAGTCAACATCTCCGAGAACTTGATCTGGCAGGAACACAGCTCTTCAATATAGCGGTAGGGTCAAGTGGTGCAAAAATGAGACAGCCGAAATTTCGGTCAAAAACAAGACATTCAATTTTTCCCAATGTAAAAAAATAATAAAATTGTAAAAAATACGTTACAAATTACTTCCACATATATACAATTGAAATATGTAATGAATAATAAATAAACGTAAACACAAACATAGAGAAAAAAACTATCGCATCTGATTGTGCATTTTCCTTAAAAAATCTTTTAAATTGTATTTACAAACTTTTCCTGTTGCGCCGTGGTACGTGATCGCAGAGACTCGGCAATTATCGCGTTTTCAAAATAACAAATGTGGCTATGATATTCCATATCGAATTTAGTCCATTTTTATTTGTTGGCAAGCAGGCACGTCGTGAATAACAGGTGAAAAAACGAGACACCACAAAGTCTAAAAACAAGACACCTGCCAGGTAAAAAACAAGACAGCTTTTATACCTTTGATAATAATGCCGAAGGTTTACGTTCCCAAAAAGCGCCCCTACGACAAAAAGAGCATGGAAACAGTCATATGGCAGCTGAACAGTTTAAAATTGACAAATCTGCTCTTTCGAGAAGACGTACTCGTTCACTTGGTAAACAGGGAAGAAAAAGTTCTCTAACCAAAGAAATGGAAGTAGACTTAAGTGATAAGATAAAAATTATGGCAAAATGGGGGTTTACTACCCAGTTTAAGGAAGGAAAGCCCGGGAAAGATTGGTTTAAAAATTTTTGTAAGCGCAATAGACTAAGTAAAAAAAACGCAAAAAACGCAAGTTTACTACGTGGCACAAATCCTTAAAGTTTTTGAGAGCGATGTAGAAGTAAAATATCTGAGGCGCAAAGGATTTAAATTTATTTTTCCGGCCATTGAGGCAAAGTACTTCATCGACAAAAGTGACATAGAAATGAAACTTCCCCAGCCAGAAATAGAAAGTAAGACCTGTCGTATCTCTCAGCAATATTGGTTTCCTATCGACTTTGAAAACTACGTCGTTCAATAATACCTATGTAGTACAAAATACGTTAGAATAATAAGTTTTCTACTTTAGCTCTTAAAATCCTATTGAAAATCTTGTATTACCCCTTTTTTGAATTAGGTATGGTTTATTTAACTTGTTTTGGATTTGTTTTCTTTTTAGTTTAATAAACATAGTTTTGTATTTAATTATGTGAGTTTTCTTTAAGAACGTTGTCACAATTTAAAACGTAACTGTTATTTGACTTACTAAACGCTTTAAAACCCTTGCAGTGTGTCTCGTTTTTATTCCCCAGGGTTTCATATTTTGCCACACTGATGTAAAATGACTAAAAGGCCAGAAAATACAGTGTCTTGTTTTTAACGTCTCACTGTCTCATTTTTAGCCTAAATAGTGGTTAAAAACGAGACACGGTTTTTTAACAAAAACGCCCTTCATTATGAATATTATGAACTTTTTTTAACGTCAGGTATACTACATAGCTTTCTATATACAGAACAATATAACAAAGCCTTAAAGTCCGGTTTTTTGTTGACAAAAAATTAAAAGATTTAAATAATGTCTCGTTTTTGCACCACTTGACTGCCGGGAAAAAGCTAGGCTATTTGTTTAGGTCTAAAGGCGGCATTACACGCTACGATACATGCGAGCAATCTATCATAACGATCGAGTTGTTTCAATTGATCGTTGTGTGTAATCGGGAAATCGTAACGATTTATCGGAGTTGGAGTTGGGTTGGATGGTTGATCCGAGCCCTGATCAATTTCGGCGAATCGTACCGACATGTCCTGAACATGTAATCAGGTGGCAGCGATTTGTCGCTACAATTTAACTCAGTTTGCGTTTTGGCCGTACGGAGTCAATTTAGTTTTCCTTTTTGGTACGAATTGGCAGACGCACCTATGGCAGATGCACCGAAACAAACTCCTCGAGAGTTTTTGACAGAGTTCATTGAACTTTATCAAAGTTTTACGTGGTTGCAGCGCGTCAAGAGCAAAGAACATTCTGACAGGAATAAAAAAAATTTAGCTTATATTGAGTGGGTGAAAAAATACCAGGAGTTTGATCCATCGGCGCATAGAAACACTGTTGTTAAAAAAATTAATGCTTTACGTACGGTCTATAAAAAGAATTGGCTAAAGTTTACAAATCGGAAAAATCCGGGACAGGTGCGGATGACATCTATAAACCTACGTTGTGGTACTTCGACCTGCTGCATTTTTTTAGAGACCAGGACTCTGCAAGACCTAATACGAGTACAATGAGTGATGCGGATCAAGAAACACAAGAAGATGTAAGTAAAAATGAATTTTTATTTAGATATAGCAACATTTATTGTTATAACAAGTACATGTTGACGGCACAAACTTATTAAAGAATATCCCTGTATCTCAAAATATCTTGTTTATATAATATGGTTTTAACTAATGAACTGTAAATTTCAAACAATCAATGCAAATGTTTCTTGCGCAGGAATTGACCCCTCCCCGTTAAAATACGCACAGAATTTGTGTCGAACGGTTTTCGCTTGGTGCAAAACTTGACATCCTGAACGTTTTTCGAGATTGTGGAACATATCAGTATCAGGCTTTGTACTTGGTGGCTCGGTACCATCAATAATATTTTCTTGATAAACACTTTCAGGAGAAGAGTAAGTAGATGATTTTGTCCTCAAGAAGATCTGCAATGCACAGCAAGCAAGAACTAGTGATTCGATGGAATCCACATTTAAATTGATTGCAGTGTAAAAAACACGAAAACGTGAAGCTAAAAGTCCAAAACTGTTCTCAACTTCTCGCCGTGCTCTCGATATACGATAGTTGCATATTCTTTTCTCGTTGTTAAGGGAATCCCGACCGTAAGGCTTAATAAGATCAGGTCTTAATGCAAAGGCATCAACCCCACAAAAACATATGGCAGGTCAAGATCAAAGCTAACTGGTTCGGGTCCAGGGATATTAAGTTGATTTTTTGTAAGTTTGTCGTAAAAACGAGTGTTATTAATCACACCTCCATCAGATATTCTACCGTTCGTTCCTATATCACAAAGTATAAATTCGCAGTGAGCGTTTGTTATAGCCATCAAAACTATACCGTGTGTCTTCTTGTAGTTGAAGTAGTATGAACCTCAATCCTTTGGTGGAACAATCCGGACATGCTTTTCATCGATCGCGCCCAAACAATGAGGAAATTGAAATATAGGGCAATTTTGTACCACTCATCGGCTCTTTTAGGGAACTGAAAAAAAAATTGTTTTTGATAGACACATACACACACAAAATGTGTTATTGTGTTGACACTACTCTCAGTTTCAAATTAAACATTTGAACACAAAGAAAAACATAAGTTAAATTAATATAAACTTGAATATTATCTACAAATCTATTTTCCCGGCAATAGGTGAAGAACTGTTTCTTTCACCTGCCAAATGTATCTATACTCTAGGCGCTGAAGAAAGAAACTAAACCCAAACAAATACACGCATATTGCTCGTGAGTGAGTGTTTAGGCGCAGGAGACATTACAGGACCGCATCAAGATATTATGGGTAGTCATCAAAAATTTCATACAAGATAATTATTATCTTTTACAGTAAATTTCAGTTAGAGATTCACAAATGAGTTAACTACACTTTTTAGTTATTAGTAAGTAAGCTGCGCGCACTCATTCAGAAGAGGAACTTGAATCTTCTGAATCGTTTAAATGAATTATTAGAGGTTCAATTTGGGTATCGATGACATTGTCCAAATCCCACATTTTGACCTCAACCTTCTCCCGAACGTGGCGGATACAGTTTTTCCATTCCTCTGCCGCAACTCTATTGACTGCGATGTGAAAGAGATTTTTAACATCAGAAAATTTATAAGTATTATTATTCGACGCCACGTATTGCTTTATGTTGGCCCCAATCAGCTCACAATGGTAGGGTGGCAGTCTCAAGACAGTTTTATTTTGTTTTTTGGCCATTTCGTCGATCATTTTAAAATCGTATTTGTATTTATGTCTATTGACTATACTTATCAATTCACCCTTGACCATTGTTTCATCAAAATCGATCTGTTTTGAGGCCAGCCATTGTTGTATGTTTGCTTTTTTAGTTGCCATTGTGGGAATTTTTTCTATTTTTCTAGAATGGTACGGGGCATTATCCAGTACAATAACAGCGTTATTCTCCAGCTTTAGTAACATTTTGGAGAACCAATTTTCAAAGGAATTGCCGTCCATCTCCTCATGATAGTCCCCTGTCTTTTTTGATTCAAAGGTCCACAGTGCTTCGGGAACAAAGCCGTCTTCACTACCTACGTGACAAATGATCAGCCGTTTGCCTTTTCCTGGAAATAAATTATTCCTTACACTATGGATTGATTAAATTTGAAGGAATGAGGCAATTGAGTTCATTTAGCTGAATTTAAGAGTCACGGAATGCTGATCAAAAACTGAAAAACGTAGAAAATTGAAGTTTGCAACTTCTCAAAACCCATTCAAAGCAAATTGACTGCACCCAAAAATGATAATAAATTTCAAAATAACGCTTAAAAGAGGGTCGAAGTTTTTTTCCTAATGACTACACTGCGAATGCACCATTTTTGGAGAATATCACACATTATCTGCTATCACAGCATATTATTTGCCCGAATTTATCAAAATTAAATTGCCGGATAGATGAAGGAGCTTACCTGCAGGATTTTTCAATCCAGCCGAAAGACCGTCTAGAAAAGCCTGCCTTGATGATGTTACTGATTTGTCGACCCAAACTTTCGCTTGAGTATGTCCAGCATTCACCCACGTTTCGTCCAAATAGTAAATTTTTCTTTTTTCATCGCGAAACTTCCGAATCTTCCTAAGGTATTCCCTTCTCCACACAACAATTTCTTCTTTCTCTATTAACATACTGTTTCTTCCCCGTTTCAAGAATCGAAAATTAAGTTCCTTCAAAAGTTTTCGGAATGTGGTTCTTTTAAATGATGGAAGATCCTCATCAGCATTAACTAATCTTAATATCTTATCTACTGTAGGTATCTCATTTCGGAAGAAAAAATTATGCACTTTCCTCCTGATGGCAGTTCTGTCAAAGTCATCTACTCCGTCCGTTATCCTTTTTCTTGCAGGATACGGTTTTGGCTCAGAAAGTGAGTGAGTGCTCCTATATTCCTTAATGATCCTATAAACACTGGACCGACATACTCCAGAAATATGTGCTACCTTACATATAACTTCGTCCACGACCAAATCGGGTTTTTCTTGAATTTGGTTTTTGTATATATTTAATATTATTTGTTTTTCATTTGCACTTAAATGTAGCTTCTTAGCCCTTTTTTTGGGTGGGGTTGCGCTGATGTCAACCACTTCGTCGGCTGTATCTGTGTCAGACATCGTATCTTAGGCAATATATAAACAAAACGTTCCACTCGCGAAAAACGAGTATACGTTACTGAATGCGTAATGCGTATGCAATGCAATCCTGTGCGTGAATTAACTGTTAGATGCCTGTCGTGTCATCTACAATCACGTTTACAAGTCCAAACCTGTGCAGATTCGTAGAGCGCCGACGACTGCTAGTGACCTTGAATTTGTCTGTAGATCGATGTTACTCCAGTCAATTTAGGTTCAAAGTGGATGTTTTCTAAACCAATTTGTTGTTCCTACATCAAAAATATATCGATGATGTTTTGTACTGGGAGCTCATGAAAGATCAAGGTAACTTATTTTAACAGTCATCCTTTTTCTAGTCTCAAGATGACACGAAAAAGGGTCTGTGGATTCACTAGAAATACACTGCCGAGGATGTTTAGACCTAAAGTGACTGGAGTATATCCGTGGATGCTTTCGAGGGATCTGTTCACGTGCTGATCACTGTTTACGTTTAATGTCTTTCTTCAGCGCCCAGAGTTTACTCATAAGTTTATTGGAAACTGATATTTGTTTTATTCCCAACAGGAGGATTCAGAATCTACTGATCTACCCCATTCCCAACAAGGAGATGAGGCTCTTCCAACATCAGGTGATGATGGATCAAGCACATCACTAAGTGTGTCATCATCAACAGTTATATCGAGGGTACCAAAGACGCTATGTAAGAGAAAAAAGATGCTGACTCCGGCAGATGAGGTGATACAGCTTGCGGGAGAGCAGCCACAAAGTATTCGTCGGACCTCGATTCATACTGATGATGAGTTCGATGCCTACGGAAAGTATGTAGCTCATAAGCTACGTTTTCTTAGAGGAAACCAGGCCATATTCGCTAGAAAACTCATAAATGACGTGATTTTTGAGGGGGAGCTTGAAGCACTCACCAAAGATTTCAAAGTAACAAACATTCAACCACACCGTTCATTCGAAAGTAATGAGTATCAACAATTTAACCCCCAACTTTACCGACAGCAACCCTACCCCCCACCGTACATCTCACGAATGCCCGACCATCAACCGTACCCTCAACAACACAATCCTCGTTGTTCCAGTGATAACATTCTACAGCTCCCAAACGTTCCAGCATTATACCTCCAAACTCTCAACCATGATACTCCTGAAGTCTCTAACGTGACACTATCAAACGTTCAAACAAATAAACCTGAACAACCCAATGCTCACCGATCAGAATCACAACAACTCAACAATGCTTCAGCCTTCTTTTCAAATTTCTCGGCATAGCAAGACATTAATGTTTCACATTCCATGATTATTCACTTTATATTGTATTACATTTCGTTACTTTAAAAGAAAATTAAAAACTAATATATAGACAAATATGTTTTATAATAAATAAAGCATACCTGGATGTATTGTTGTAATACTTTGTAGATAGCTTCACAGGTTTCTGGGATTATTGATCTGAGAGCTGGCTGAGAAATCGCAGTAGAATATTCCATGTCCTTCAAGGTTCTTCCGGTGGCAAGAAATCTTAAGGTAGCTAAGAGTCTTTCGTGAGGGGATATCGCTCTTCTCATTACAGTATCATGTTTCGCAATCAACGGAGAAACTGAGCTTAACAACTCAAGATAAGTCCCCTCGTACATCCTCAAATAATTTCGCCAGTCATTTGAGTCACTACTCATTTCTTGCAATAAGTTCACATCAGAGAATTCACTCTTCTTCAGTAACCACTCGCGACTCCACTTGGATCTGGGTTTCCGAGATTTTTCCTTTTTTTTACTCACTAAACATCCGATTAATACTGACAGTAGTACTGCTTCCTCCATGGCTACAGCATTTTATGGGGTCTATAGCTGGAGACGATAGAATGTGACAAGGAATTGTTACAATTTCACGGAGCGTGTAAACAGTACCCCACCTTGGATTTATCGGAGCAATAAATTTGCCAATCACA